GTTTAGAGAGAGATGAAAGATTTAAGCTGAGAATTTGGAAATGAGAGTTTTTCAAAGAATGAGGGGTATTTATATGATTTTTTTTCTTTAAGGATAAAATGGGCTGACCACTAAAGGCCCAAGCCCAAAATATTTTTATTTTTTTCTAAATAATAAAACTCCACTATAATTTATTCAAACAAAACAACTTGATATTAGATTTTAAAACTCCACCCTTTAATAAATTAATTGGCCAATAAAATGGGACTTGGAAATTTTAATTTTTTTTAAATACAAAACTTAAAACATCAACTTTATTTTATTTGAAACATTTCTAAACTATTTGGCATTGCACAAGTTAACTTTGTCAGTTACCCGCCGAAACGTGATCTTTCGAACTAATCTTGGGAATTAAGTAAGATGATCTCTAATCATCATAGCTAAATCCTAGGAAGACTTAATTCTCAATAAAGATCCTAAAAAAAATAAGGTGCTAACCAGAAATTCCGAAATGACGGATTGTCACAGTCTCCCCAATCCAGAAAAATTTCGTCCCGAAATTTATGCGTCAAATTCATATCATGACTTGTTCGAGAATAAGTGAGGATACTTGCTTTTCATGAAATCTTCTCTTTCCCACGTATATTCCGGTCCATGCCTGGAGTTCCAATGAACTTTCACAATTGGAATTTTGTTGCGCCTCAACTGCTTGACTTTACTATCAAGGATTTCGACCGGCTCCTCAACGAAACGTAACCGTTCGTTAATTTGAATGTCTTCCAAGGGTAAGATCAATGTTTCGTCAGCTAAACATTTCTTAAGGTTGGATACATGAAATGTATCATGGATGGCACTCATTTTTGGGGGTAAGCTTAGTTTGTAAGCCAATGGTCCGATTCTTTCGAGAATAACAAATGGACCAACATACCTTGGACTAAGCTTCCCTTTCTTACCGAAGCGTACAATCCCTTTCCACGGAGATACCTTCAAGAGRACTTTATCACCCACTTGAAATTCCAATGGTTTCCTTCGGTTATCAGCGTAGCTCTTTTGACGGTCTCTTGCAGCTTTAAGTCTTTATTGGATGATTGAGATTTTGTCGATTGTCTCCTGAATGATGTCAGGTATAATCAGCTGCATATCACCAACTTCCAATCAGCTGAGTGGTGATCTGCACTTACGCCCATACAAGGCTTCATATGGTGCGCACTGGATACTGGTGTGATATCCATTCTTATAGGAGAATTCAACCAATGGCAGATGAGTATCCCAACTGCCCCCAAAGTCTATTACACAGGCTCGTAACATATCCTCCAACGTTTGGATTGTCCTTTCTGTTTGCCCATCTGTCTGAGGATGATAGGAAGTGCTCAAGTCCAACCTTGTGCCTAGTGTCTTTTGGACTGATTGCCATAATCGTGAAGTAAACCATCTCTGTCTGATATGATAGTAATAGGCACTCCATGTCGCGATACGATTTCATTGATATATAACTGCGCAAGCCTTTCCGTACTAAAGTCTTCTCGAATAGGTAGGAAATGTGCAGATTTCGTAAGTCGGTCCACTATGACCCATATCGTATCCCTTCCTCGTTCATGGCAACTTTGTAACGAAATCCATTGATATCTGCTCCCACTTCCATTGGGGAATCTCTGGTTGCTGAAGAAGGCCAGATGGTTTCTGATGTTCAGCTTTTACTCTTGCACAGGTTATACACTGACTCACGTACAAGGCAACGTCCTTCTTCATTCCTGGCCACCAGTAATAATCTCTTAGCTCTTTGTACATCTTATCGGTTCCTGGATGAATTGAGTATCTTGAACGATGTGCTTCCTCTAAGATCATTGACCGAAGACTGTTACTCTTTGGTATCCAAACTCTTACTCTGAAGTAACACACCCCATCTTCTCGAGTTTCGAATTCCTTTTCTAGGTGATGTAGGGTTTCGTTCTTTAGGTTCTCTGGTTTCAACGCCTCTTCTTGAGCTTCAAGAATTTGTGTTTTTAGATTCGTTTGGACCAACAATCCCATGGCTCGTACTCTTGACGGTTTCACTTTTTCTTTTCGGCTTAAGGCGTCCGTTACCACGTTGGCTTTCCCCGGGTGATACTTAATTTCGCAATCATAATCGTTGAAAAGTTCAACCCACCTTCGTTGCCTCATATTCAGCATCTTTTGATCAAATATATGTTGAAGGCTTTTATGATCGGTGAAAATGGTGCATTTGGTGCCGTAAAGATAGTGCCTCCATATCTTAAGTGCAAATACTACTGCTCCCAATTCAAGGTCATGCGTAGCATAATTCTTCTCATGCACTTTAAGTTGTCTCGAGGCATATGCAATGACCTTATCTTTTTGCATCAATACGCATCCTAAGCCTTGATGCGATGCATCACAAAAGACTACAAAGTTTTCTGAACCCTCTGGTAAGGATAAAATAGGTGCATTGCATAGTTTCTGCTTGAGAGTCTCGAATGCTTCCTCTTGTTTCTCACCCCAAATAAATTTCTTGTCTTTTTGGGTTAAGGCTGTGAGTGGTTGTGCGATTTTCGAAAATTTTGCGATGAATCTTCGATAATAACCTGCCAAACCAAGAAATTATCGGATCTCGGTTAGGGTTCTTGGGGCTTTCCAATTTCTAACAGCCTCGATCTTGGCAGGATCTACCTGAATTCCTTTTTCATTAACTATGTGACCAAGAAATTGTACTTCTCGTATACAAAATTCGCATTTGGAGAATTTTGCATACAATTTCTGGTTCCGAAGTAGCTCCAATATTATCCTCAAGTGTTGCTCATGATCCTCCTTGCTTTGGGAATAAATCAATATATCATCTATGAAAACGATTACGAATTTATCCAAGTAGGGTCGGCAGACTTTGTTCATTAGATCCATAAAGACAGTCTGTGCATTGGTTAGCCCGAATGGCATAACCATAAATTCGTAATGACCGTACCGGGTCCGGAAGGCTGTTTTGGGAATGTCCTCTTCCCGAACTCTCACTTGGTGATATTCGGATTGTAGATCAATCTTAAAAAATAAACCGCACCTTGGAGTTGATCAAACAGATCATCAATTCTAGGAAGAGGGTATCTATTCTTGATGGTCAACTTATTAAGTTCCCTATAATCAATGCACATTCGCATTGACCCATCTTTCTTTTTAACGAATAGAACCGGTGCACCCCATGGTGAGTAACTTGGTCTTATGAATCCCTTATCTAATAACTCTTGGATTTGGGTTGACATTTCTTGCATCTCCGATGGTGCCAAGCGATATGGTGCCCTTGCCACTAGGGCAGCTCCAGGAATTAAGTCGATACCGAATTCGACTTGCCTTTGTGGGGGTAGACCTGGTAAATCCTTAGGAAATACATCAGAGAACTCCCGAACTACAGGAAAATCCTCAATACTTTTCTCCTTGACCTTTCCATCAATCACATGTGCCAGAAATGCAGTGTAATTCTTTTTCAGATACTTTCGCATCTTCATGTAGGATACCATCTTAATCTTTCGATCCGACTTGTCTCCCTGGACCACAATTGGTTCCATTCCATCTTGAGGAATCCGGATAAATTTCTCTGAACATACAATCTCAGCTTGGTTTTTGGATAGCCAATCCATGCCTATAATTATGTCAAAACTTCCTAGTTCGATCGATATAAGGTCTATGCTAAAGTCTTTATTGGCTAAGCACATAGTGCAATTCATAATTATGTTTCTAGCCTTGAATTCTTGACCATTGGCAAACTCAATTACAGAGGCTTCTTTCAACCTCTGGGGCTTTAGGTTAATCTTCTGCTTAAAGTCCAGTGACACAAAACTTCTATCTGCCCTTGAGTCAAATAGGATTGATGCAAATTCATTGTTCAGAAGAAACGTACCTGAAACCACGTTGGGATCCTCTCTAGCTTCTCTGGCTCCAATCTCAAATGCTCTGCCCCGTGCCTGACCTCCTGGGTTTCCGGGACTGACCTGCCGGGTTTGGCTTGCATTTGCTCCTGATTTCCTCTTTGGACAAACATTCCTCATGTGATCTGGACTCCCACAATCGAAACATAATCGTCTCCCGCAATCCTTTGCTGTGTGACCCCCTAGATGGCATCTTTGACAAATGATGCAATTCCCCTGATGCGGATATTTGCACTTATTGCACTTAGTCGTGTCTCCTTGCCTCACCACCTACGTCTGTGCTCCAAAATTCCTTACTACCCTCCTGCTTCTGTCAAATTTTCCCCCAACTCTTCGATCCCCATGCTCCTCCATCTTTCTCTTTCCCTTAACAAATCCTCCAGATTAAATAGCATTATTCGTGAGCTTAGTGGTAATGTCTATTGCCTCCTGAAGAGTCTTTGGATTGGCCGAGGTAATGTTTCCCCGAATTTCTGAAGACAATCCCCAAATATACCTCTCTATGCGAACTTCCTCTGGCGTCACTAGATGTGGCACTAGATTTACCAACTCATGAAATCGAGCCGTATATGCAGATATATTATCCCCTTTCATTTCAAGATTCCATAACTCCATTTCCAACTTTTGAAGTTTACTTCTGGGGCAGTATTCGGCCTTAAGGAGTTTCTTGAACTCCTCCCACAAAAGTTGGTTGACCGCTTCTCGACCTCTAGTCTGTACCAATGTATTCCACCAGGTAAGTGCCCTCCCTTGTAACAAACATGTCGCATACTCCACTTTATTTACTTCAGAGCACTTACTAATATGGAGGACAGATTCCATACTCTCTATCCAAGTCAATAGCCCTACTGCACCCTCAGTCCCATTGAATTCTTTTGGATTGCAGGATCTGAAGGTTTTGTAAGTGCATTCTCTGGGAGGTCTAGGCTCAGAGTTTGTTGGTTGGTTAACGTTCAAGCCAGCAGCCACTTGACTAACTATGTTGGGAAGTGCGGCTAGAAGTTGCTCTGACACAAGTTGCGCAATGTCGGGATTTTCTCTCCTTGGTGGCATCTCTTTAGATCCTAGTCAGAAGGGAATTCGTAAATTTTATGGAAATAACAAGGGTGATAGCTTCCTACTTATTTCGATGATACCAAAAATGTTCTTCGCATGGAAAATAATCAAGCATTACTATAACCAAATTAGAGTAAACTCATTCATACAATGACTTGGCCTAAATAAGCATTCTTCAAAAGGTATTCATATATTGATATACGGTGGTAGCTACAAAACAGGATCTTTAGTAACAGTTCAAAAGAGTGAGCATCCTATCCTTAATTCTTCTTCTAGAACATCCATCCTATGATGATTCCCATCATTAGCATTATCACACCACTTGCTACCATCCATTTGTACAATCTCCTTATTTCCTGCCTTGCTGCAGCGACAACATCCGTGTTCCTTAACATACTCTGATGGTGTGCTTCCATCACATCGAACAGATTGTTTAGGATGTGATGGTGATATCCCAGGCGGGTCTGGTGCACTTGCGTATCAGATGCAATTCTCCTCACCCAGTCTCTTTCAGTCGGATTCATGCCCTGAGAGTAGGACGCAGGTACCCCGGTCACCACTTGAGTTATTTTGTTCCTCAATTGAAGTCGGGATGACTCCCCTATGACCCTATTAGAGTCCTTAAATGCCACACGATGCGGTAGTGGGATGTTCTTTCTTGGCGTGACTCTGATCCTCGAGCCATGATAGGTTCGTGGTGGAACATCGGGTACTGGCTCCGTTGGGGGTAAGAAAGATGCTTGTGGAGTGGCAGCTGCTTCACTGGTCGCAGTGTCTTGCTCATACGGGTCTATCTCTTCATCGTGAGCTAAGTTCCTTCTAGAGTGACCAACCACGTAACCGGATTCATCGGCTGAGTATTCACTAGGATCAGACGACATCATAGAGATCTGCGATATTAATAATCTTAATTACTAAAATGCACCATCTAACAAACGCTTAGTGATACAATGGAAGCTTCTAAACAATACTTAATGGTGACAATCATGCTGGATCCTCTGGACATTGCCTCTGGTTACACTACTAGAGCTTCTGATTGCATGACCAGAGCTTCTGGTCACACTAAAGTCCTTAGGGAAGGAWTTCTTATCCATCGGTTCTCTGACAACCCAATGGAATTCTATTTTTATCAACCGCTGGCTTAACCTTCACACTTAGAACAATAATGGACTTCTTGTCCATCGATCCTCTGGTTCTTATGCTTGCCCTTACCAGAGCTTCCGGTTGCGAGACCAGAGCCTCTAGTTCAACATCTATACTTAGAGAAATACTAAGTAACCCGTCCATCGGTCCTCTGGTTCTTACACGATACAACGTAAGGAGACTGCTAATCCATCGCCTCTGGTCCTTATAACCAGAGCTTCTAGTTTATCATGGACACTTAACGAAATTAAGGAATTTTTCTACCCATCACCTCTGGTCCTCTTGACCAGCGCCTCTGGTCCTACACGGACACTTAAC